TGGGGGCACACGGCACCGCCTCCATGACCTCCTAGAGTGCAAACAGCAGCAGGAGCCATCCCCCACCCCTGCAACCCCCAGAGGAGCTGCAGCTCCATCCTGTGCCCTGCCCCAGCCCTGCTCCTCCCTCTGTGGAGGCACCTTGATCTGCCCCCATACCCCTTCCCTCCCCCTCCCCTTCCACCACAGCAAACTTACCAGCTGCACACAGCTCTTCAAGCTGCTGGGCTCAGTATTGGAAATCGGATCCGTATCAGCAAATATGCCTCCTTAAAAATCAGCTATTGGTTTCGGCCTCCAAAATCTCTATTGGTGCACCCCTAGCAATAACAGTAAATGCTGTGCCTAATGTGAATTTCTGCCTCCAAACTAAAAGAAATATTGTGTGTACATGTGCCTGTTTCATATAAAATTAAATATTTAAGCAATCTTAAAATGGAAGGGAAAGCTGCAAAATATTTTATATTACAGTTTTGGTATGTGAATTATATTATTTCTGAGGAAAGCATTTTAAGATCAAAAGAAAAATGAGAAACTTGTCCTAACAAATGGATAAGGGAGCTGAAATCTTAGCATAAATATGTTCTAAATCCAAGCAACACTGACTGGAAATACCAAATATGCATCAGTAGCAAAAAATATTATCAGTATCAGTGAAAAAAACTGAGCAAGAACCTACAGCTTTTTATATTGTCAATATACAATTTTTCAGCTGAGATTCTGGCCCCACTTCTTATGCTTTATGCTGCTTCAGTGATTTTACTCAGCATCAGAGAGATTCTAAAAGTTATTGCTGTCCATAATTGATTAATCCACATTATCAAAAACTAAATGAAAACTCAACATTTTTAAAAAGTGTTTTTCAAATATAGACAGTATGTTTCTTCATAGTAAGGTCTTAAATAGTACAACAGGATAACAATTTAAAAATATATATTTACTTTGCAATGTGGAAGTCCCAGCAATCTGTGTTATCATCTTATAATTTATTTTTATTTCCACAGATGTTGCCTTTATCACAACTGTGACCTTCCTGTGGAAAGTGTCAGCAATCACTGTTGTAAGCTGTCTTCCACTTTACATACTCAAGTACTTGAAGCGTAAATTTTCTCCTCCAAGTTACTCCAAGCTTACCTCGTAAAAATGACTATATTCCTACAGTTTTTTCCACCAAGGCACTGAGAATTGCTTAAGCAGACTCCTTGTGCTTCAATGAGAGCAAATATGTCAAATGTTAAAGAAATTAAAAAAAAGAAAAGAAAAGTGAAGTGAACAGAGCACAAAAAAGGAGGGAATGTCTGACAGGTACTTGTAGAGAAGTACACTTTACCATCAAATATAAACTAATCTTCATTTTCATGTTGGTTTTTCTTTAACTTCCAGTTGCTACAGTTATGAAATAAACCGAATTAACCTTTGAGTTGACAATGCTTTTGAATGGTTTTGTTTCTGTTGTAAAGGATTTTTTCCTACTGCACTAATCTTCTGCAAGTTGAACTGAAAGCTTAATATTCCATTCTTTCCCAACAAATTCCAATTCTTTCCTTGATGTTTATATATACAAATATTCATTCCTGTTTAAATACAATACCACAAACCTAGAATCTGTAAATGCCATTGTCTGTATTTGCTGCTATATATTACTCGTCATCAAACATGGATAATATGCACTATTTGAATTATGTACAGATGTCTTCATAGCACAGTATTACTTTAGGAGCTGTTGTCCTCTTTTCTGTGATCTCCATTCCTGGCACTGGTAAATATTAACAGATATGTGAATTCTGTGATATTGACAGCAGTTCTTTAAATGCACATGAAAGCCAAGTTGCACAAAATCTGTAAAAATTCCTGTACATAATTCCATTGCACCTACTGATTTGTACAGAACATCAAAGACATTGCTGTTCAGTAAATGTTTTAAAAATTCCTAGCCATTTTGTATTTGTAAAACTGCAAATAGATAGTGTCAAGGTGCATTTCTATATATCAGAAGTCCTATAAACCTTGTATTAGCGGCTATGTTTAAATTGCCTTGTAATCTGTTTACTTAGGTTACTCAGGTAAAAAGAAATGAGATGAACATTTTATGTTATGGTAGGAAAATATATCATTTTTCAAGATGTAATGTTTATGTTTTTATAATCCAGATTGTTAGTTACAAAAGAACTGAGGCAAGATCTTCCTTGTCTGCTTTAAATTGTCATGGTTCTTCCCTGGACCTATGACTCTTTATGCCAGCTGAAGATCTGCCCAGAAAGTGATATTCACTCTTCTGATACAATATGAAGGTCTGAACCATATGTACTGTATTGGGATGCAGGCTATCTGTTATTTTATTTCCCATTGTGGTAGAAAAAATTGCTTTTTATGCAATACATATGACAGATTATTTGGCATGGTCCATCATCAACTGAAAGAAAAAGCATAATTATCCATACTTCTTTATTAAAATTATATTTATTTGTACATTTTTTAAAACACTTTATATTGATGTTATTTTTATCACAGATCTTTTTTGTTTGACTGTCTTTTTTACATAATTCCTTGCGTCTGACATGTCCCTTAAATCATTTATTACAATGTTGTATGAGTGAAACTTTTGCAGTGATTAACAATCTAACCACTTTCATAAAACAAAGCTGTTGCAGAGCTGTTTGAACTGCACTACACTCCATTTGTTTCATTTTGAGAATTTTTTTTACCAGTTACCTGCTTCTTATTTTTTTTAACCTTTCATTCTTCTTTATAAAAGCAATAAAGCCTAATTTCTACCAAACACTATTTATGGTATATGTATTAAACTTTTGTAGGAGGGATTATTTTCAGTGCACAAACATTATCATCAGACTAGTTTGCTGTGACCTTATGAATAACCATTTCTCTCTATCCCCACAAGATGTCACTGTTCTTTTATACTAGCAGAAACCTTTCCTCCTTTTATGTGGAGTTTGCCAAGATTATTCTATTCTATTAATTTCTGTTTTCAGTTAGTTTAGCCCTATTGTCATTTTTTGTTTCTGATTTACTTTACTTTCACCTTTCCTGAAATGAAGTGCCAAATTTATTTTGGCCCAATGGGTATGATAAAGATGCTGAATTAATCAACACAGTATTAGCATAGAGTAGTTAGCAGTGTACTACCATTGTTAAACTATGACAGTGACCTTTTATTGTCAGTGAACAACCATAATATATCAAATTCACTAGGTAAGAAAAAATTTGTAAGTGACTGATCATCTTACACCTGCATACGCACACCAATGTTGAGGCAAGAAGAAAGATAAAATCCTAAATCTGACAACATGCAAGAAATAACATTACCTTAATACAGCTGTGTATGAGCTAAATTATATCCATGTAGGTATGATTGTATTCTGTGTGTATATATGTATATATTAAAAATCTTGAACCTTAAAACTGTGAGGTTAGTGTGATAGTAGCAGTGTACAGAATCATATACATGGCCCTAAAGCCATTATCTAGACCAAATATAGTAGACCGAAATGTGTTCAAAATAAACTGAAGTGGCTGATCATTTCATGCTACCAACATGATGACCCGCCAACACTGGGGTTTCATGAGATACAAAACAGTTCCATTCCAGAGTAGAGGTTTCTCGGTTTAATTTAATTTTTCATCAGTCACTGGCTACCAGAAAATATTTACTATCCAAACAGTTAATGCACAACCTAACTTAGCAGTCTTACCAAGTACTCAGTTTTACAAGGAAGTCTATATTATCACAGTGGTATTATACAGGATACAATATCAATATGCAACTCAGGGCCCCACCATTACAATGCTTCAGTAAGACAAGGTTTAGTCTATTGCGAAATTTAATAGAAGGCAACTGAAGAAGCTCCATATTCTCCAATTCCAAAACAGATTAAATAATTTTAAAACTACACCAGGTTCAAGCACAAGGATCTGAAAACAGAACAAACTAGTAAGATGTTTGGTATGTGAACAAATAAAAAATGTCCTGAGAATCTGTCTGTAGTCAGTTTATATCCATACAAATCAGGGATAAATCTCTGGGGTTATACCAGCATATGTCAGCACAAACTTCAGCCTTCAATTGGCAAATTATACCCCCTTAGGCACAGTAGTTTTTATCACTGTAAAAGAAATGTTTACTTTTCCTTCATTATTTGTTGCATCAAATATGATAAAAATCTATGCTTTACATGGATTGGTGATCTATTTCTGAAAACATTGCTACCAAATTATTTCAAAATTGGAAGGTGTGTAGGGGCATAGATGTATGGGTACAATATCAAAATAATGCATGTCCAGACTACACTGCTACTTGGTCTGTAATCATGACAGACCCAGTGGGCCTACTCATATTTGGATGAGGGAACTGAAAGGACAAAACAGATGCTTCAGAAAGTATGTGTTGTATAAAATAACCATAATACCACTTTTTCTGTCACCATACTAAACCAATATCCCAACAGGAGGTTGTTTGGTTACCATAGTGGTCAGCTTTCACATGGAAGGTAAAATCAAAATGCTGCAGACTTTCCATTAACCTTTCTGTAGCATACTGGTATTTTGCAAGAATGCAGGTGTTAGCCATACAGTACTTCCAAATTCCAACTTGGGTGATTACCATATATAGCTAGACAAGTGCCCTTTACTTTTCATCAATGTTGCTTCCTTCCTAAAAGCCCTGTTGTGTGAATGGTTGTCCACCTTGATTTCGCCTTTGGTACACACACACCATGGGAGCATGAGCTTAAATTCATATGGTCAGCAATGTCCACTGGGGGCAGACCCATGCCCTAGTTGTCCTCATGCCCCTCTCCACATAAAGGCAGAGTGGGATTAACCATCCTGTAGTTCCATCCTACTGTTAGCTGGGAAATGAAACCTTACAGCATCATTATTGTGTATGCTGCATCATATTTTGGACTGTTTGCTTCACCTAAAAAAACAATCAGGCTCTTTCTTCCATCTAGCAGTATTATCTGTGCCTTG